CCCACTTCCAGGCCCCCTAAATTTTGCATTTAATCCTAGAATGAATATAAAATGTGATTTTATGTTTTTCTGGAATAGCGGCAACGTTCTTCTCATAAGACTGATTTATTTCAAAACCTCCAGTCAATGAAGAGAGAGCGGGCGGTGCTGTTAGAGACATAAACGGCACGTATCTCAGCACCTCGACCCACGTGGCCGCAAAGGGCGCATCCCTCGCAGACCCGGGGGACGGCGCGTTAAGCATGTAGTCAGCACTAATCTCCACTCCCACCCGCCGCGTCGAAATTTCCCCGTCGGTCCCGATGGAATTTAATTCCTAATGTTTCAACCCCCCGAAAGCCAAAGGTACAGGTTCTGTGATTTTGGAAAATGTCCTTCAGTTGTGTTAACTGATTGTTTAAAAACAAATGAACCCCAGCTCCATCCAGATCAGCTCAATTTCCTCTCCCCGCCGTCAGATCCCACAGCCCCAAACGGGGGGCCTTTTCTGTGCTGCCTTGAGCCCTGCGAACGGAAGAGGGGAGGGGGTGTGGGAACCGGTCCTGGTCGTACAGGGCCTTGGAGAAGACCCAATGGCGGGGCGGCCCCCGGGGTGTGGGCTGGGAATGTGATGAATGAGCCGGCCGGGGACCCCTGCCTCCTCCCCAGCATATGTTTTTGTACTTTCCTCCTAATATATGGCAGGATTATTGCGAAGGCGTGAACAGTTCTGGAAGGGCTCCCCCTCCCCGAAGACTCCGCCAGCCCACCCCGCGTTTTACTTGAACCATAAACTACTTGGAAAGACAAGGCTCGAGCGGCTGTTACAGGCTCGGAGCGCTGAGCAGAGGGTGCACCTGCGCTGCGTCGGGGCTCTCAGACCCCAACGACTTTCCCATCTTTTAGGGGGGAAAAAACGAAGAACATGATGTTTTATGGCCGGGCAGAGGGTCCGGAACACACAGGGCCACGCATACTCGCACTGAGAACCGTACCTGGGTCTCTTAAAAAAAATTGTTTCTGGAAAAGACACGTCTGCCAACAGCTCCCCATCCGTCCCCACGGCGGGCCGGCGGCATCCCGGCGTCTCTGGGCTCCGGAAACGGCTGCATCAGGATCCCGCTTCTGGGACGTCTCGGAGCTTTGAGCCTTTTTCATGGGTCGGTTAGATTTTTATTTTTTTTTTAAACTCTCAGAGGCAAAAAGTTTTTTTGTCCAAAGTTTTAATGAACTCAAAAGCCCAGGAAACTGGGCTTCTCTTTAAATCTGCATAAGGCTCATATTGGTCCACATGAGAAGGCCTGCGGGAGGAGGGAAGGTCTGAATACTGGGAATCTTGGCGCTGAATTCCCTGCGACGCGTCACCTACACCCGACTACTGCTCCTCGGGGTGTCCGCAAAGGGGACTTTGGGTTTCCAGGGCTGGGTGCCCAGGCATCCTCGCAGCCCGAACCTTCCAAACCCGCCAGGAGGGGAAGGCGGAGCCAGAGGAACACTTGCAAAATAATATTTTAAAAAATCCATCTCCAGACGCCCTGGCTGGGGGACTCAGCTGCTTGGAGCATCGTGTTATACCCCAAAAGTCTGCAGGTTCAGTCCCAGGTTGGGGTGGGCACCGGAGGCACAGATAGATGTTTCTCTCTCACATCAATGTTTCTCTCTCTGTCTTTCCCTCTCCCTTCCTCCCTCTCTAGAATCAATAAAATCATATCCTTGGGCGAAGATTTAAGAAAGAAAAACCCATCTCCAGAAATAAAACGGGGCTTCCAGATCTGCAGAGCAATAAAATAGAGCCCCAGCCCCCTTCTAGACTATCCAGCGTTTCCCCTTCTCTGAAAGATGTTTATCGTATCTGTTTTTCAGACCTAAGGCAAACGAGGCAGCAATTACCTTCAGGAAAATGGGAAGCGTTCGGGCCAGAGACCATGAGTCACACTCGGTTTCTTTTCTCCAGCCCTCGCTGGTTCTTTTGGAGGCTCCTGGGTTGCGGTTATTAATTCATCTTTACGTGATTTCCAGCTGCTGGTCACGTGCGCAGCCGCATACGAAAGGAACAGAGAGGAGTCTGGGGACCAGGCCTTTTCTCGCAGTGAAAAGCAGGCTTTACAGTCACAAAGCCGGGCACCCACGTCCCTCGGCAGCCTCTGCCATTTCTCCAGGAGGCGCCTCACCCAACAAGTGACGGAGGGCGGTCGGCTGGAAAATGGGATTTGTCCTCGCACGGGAAGGGGAGCCTGGGAGTGAGCACCGGGGTCCACGCTGAGCCGGGCGTGGCTGGGGAGAGACAGCTACGGCTCAGTGATTCCTGCTGCGAGCTGCTTCCTTGGCGGACAGACAGCTCCATGGCGCCTACTGTGTGCTCAGTCCTGTTTGAGAAGTAAGGACATACGAAGAAGGGCCTGGGTTCATTAGAGCCCCCTAAGCACCTGCAGTTGGGAAAGGCGGGGGTAACCTTGGTGTGAAACTCCTGCGAGCTTCTGGGCTGGGGACAGCTCGCCCACACGTGCCCGGTATCTGCCCCGGGCCATTCCGCCCCAGAGATCGCTTGATGAAATCAAAGCGCAAAGGGCGTCCATACATTAGGGCTAACAATGCCTACCAGGCCTGGGAGGGGAGCGGGCGTATGAGTGTCTCGTGAAAAACTCACGCTATGCCTACACAGAAAAGTCGGCTGAGGTCAGCCACCCACAGAGTTCAAGGTCAGAGGAGGATTTTGGAAACAGATAAAGGGAGAGGTTGCTTTTACATTTGGGGAAAGGGGTGTGCCAAGGAAACCTTTCGAGGGGGCGGGTCTGAGCTTCGGGGTGGGACCTCGGGGAGGAAGGCGCGCAGGTAGGACTGGACCAGGGTGAGCCGACCAGCCCCCGGCTCAGGAACAGAACCAGGTAGGGCCGGGAGCCTGGGCAGCCAACTGAGCATGCAGGTGAGGGATGCCACCTCCCCGTGGTGGCTTTTGAGTCACCAAGGAACAGAGTCTTTGGTTTGTTGTCTCAGAAGTTAAATTTTACATGAGGGAGTGGATACACTGTGGGATAGGAGCCGTCTTGTCTTGGACTCGTCAATATAATTATAAGGCTTCAGAGTTTAATACGGTGTCGAGAAGAAAGCTTGCCCATCCCCGGCCCTTCTGGGCAGACTCTTCCCCTTCGGTGTGTGGCCAGTGTCCCTGGGCCCCTCGGAGGCAGGAGCCTCTCTCTTCTTGCTCCGTCTACATGCACAGGGACGAAGGATGCTGTGGCCTTAGAGTGACAAAGGATGCTGTGGCCTTAGAGTGACAAAGGATGCTGTGGCCTTAGAGTGACTGGGGTTTCAGAGTGACTTCAACCCTTCTTTTTTGCCAGCCCTGCTACACGCAGGTCTCAGATCTAGAATACGTGCCGTGTCTCTCTCCGTAAACACGACACTCAAACACCCAGCCGGCGACCTCGGGGCATCCCCAGGAAGGCCAGGTCCTCCCGCAGCGCCCGCGGTGGCGAGCGCCCCGGGGCCTATGCTCCGTACAGTAACGACGCAACTGCAGGCGGCCTGCGTGGCCGCCACACGGCACCGCGCTGCGGGGGAATATGTTAATATTCTGCACTGGCAATTCTCCTAAATAAACAGCACATCAACTTACTTAAACCTAATCATAAACGGTACAAATTGGGCCCAAGTGCAAACAGAAACCCGAGCCGAGGTCCGGAGTTAAAGCAGCCATTGTCTCTCTCCTGACCCGGGCTCCGAAAGCCTCGCGTGTCCGGTTACATCTGCGAAAGCGATCTGAATGCCAGCCCCGTATTTTAATTATAAATATATAAAAAATTTTAATAAGCCGGTATTCTGGGCTTGCTAAGCTTTTAAAATGCTCATTGGGGGTGGAGCGGGTGGAGGAGAATTCCATGTGCCCCAGACCCAGTGCCAGCGCATAATGATTGAATGTTTTCCTGTAATAAATTGGAAAAATCTGGTTTGTGAGAACGGATCCAAATCACTTGGCTTTAGAAAGGTAATTTGTTACCTGGCTTCCAGTGCCTTGGAACTCGGTGAGGAGCCGAGATCCCCAAAGAAAGGGAACGCGCGCGAGGAGGAAGCCCGGGCCTCCCCCAACGGCGGCTTCCGCCACCTTCCCGGCCCCTCCCGCACCCCTCCCTCGGCCTTTCCTTTCTCATGGCTCCCCAAACAGAGATTCTGCCCCCAAACGTGGAAAAGGGGCTTCCCAGGACCCAAGCCAGCTCCTCGCCACCTTCCCTGCACCTCTCCAAACCACGGGCCTGCTTAATTATGATTAATTGCCACGTGGATAATCAGATACAGTTTCAAAAGGTTGGAAATGACATTCCAAGGACACCAGGGAGGACGGGAGATCTCTCTTTGTTCGCAGGAAGAAAAGGCAGGTCCCTCCCTCGGCCCCCTAACCTTTTCTCATTTTAACAATTCCAAACAGAATTAATACCGTCGGTATATGGTTCCCGCCCCAGGGAATCGAACTTGGACTGTACAATTTCTGCAGCTGTCAGGGTTTCAGACCTCCTGTCAATAACGCGATGTTGGGGTGCCCTCCTGCTCCAGCGAAAGCAGTTTCGAGTTTCTGCTTCCCGTCTGAGCTTTCTGGGTGGTAGGACATGATGAGAAAGGACTAAAAAAAAAATAATAATAATAATAGCGGCAGTTAAAAAGCCTCCACTCTTGACTTCACTGGGTCAAACGTAATAGACTTCAGTCTTCCCTCCCCATTTCCTCGGCTTGTTCTAGAAAACACTGGAAAGCGAGGGCGGCCGTAGTCTTGCCAGAGCGTCCCTCCGTTCAAATCCCTTCGGCAGAGTCAAGGATCGCAGTGTGTCATTTCCAGTCTCACAGAGCTGCTGGGCCCCGCTCGGCTCCGATTACCAGGAGGCAAATCCCTGGTTCCCGGCGCCAGGGGCTGCTGCACTTGGCTCCCGGCCCGGCATTGTTTCCTTCATTACATTCCAGAGGGCCTCTCAGCCAGTTAATGTTTGCACTGGGAGGTCCAAATACCCAGCCATCAGCACTGAACTTCTCTCTTTTTGTCGAGAATGGCAGGTTTCTAGTGAGAGGGCCCTGGCTTTCAAGGGAAACTTACAGGTGAGCACAAAAGCACTAATTTCCATTTTATGCGCAAACAATAATATTTGCAGCCCTTTTTCCATGTGCGCTCATAAAAGGCTTGTAGAAGATGTCTGGCTTTTTAAGACTTTATGGTGGCTGGAGTTGGTTTACCAATTTAAGGGCACTCATTTAATTTTCTTTCTCAAATTCGAAATCGCATACGAGGGTTTTTATCCGAGGCGGCTAACGGTCCATACGCCCCGCGCTCACGTGGGGAATGACCGTCAGAAAGGGAGAAACTAATTTGAACCGGTTTCAAGCACACGGCGTTTAATTAAATCACATCTTCGGAATGGGCTTTAGAGGTTGGGATTTTCGGAGCACGCGGACTGCGCTCAGCATCTTGGCTGTGGTCCTGGGGAACGGTGCCAGGCTGGCCACGACGAGCGGGCCGCGGTGGGGACCAGCATTTCGTGGGGTTTCGCAAAGGAGTTCATGCCCGATGGAAGCGCTAGGGGAACTCGGGGTTCCGGCCCTGCCCAGAGCCGCGGGGACCCCTGGTACAGCCGGGGGCTTCTCACCGGCACAGCCCGGCGGGGCTCCCGTCCACTTGGGTCCCGGCAGGGAGGCCACGGGAGGGCTGACCCTTTCTCCACGCCGGACTCTGGAGCCATGCCCATGGACCAAGGGGATGGGGGCTGCGGGGCTCCCCTTCCCCCACCCAAAGGACCCCTCAGGATCCAGAAGCTGCGGCACAAGTCTTTCTGGGAGTTGGGGAACAGGGTGATGCTGAGGGGCGCAGAAGGCTTGTGAGCGCGTTTCCTGAGGGCCTTGCCCTCGGAGCGGAGAGGCGGAGGCTTGGCCGGCCGGGAATACAGGTGAAAGCCCGCGGCTGCCCCCCGTAGGCCCGGAGGACACGCTGGCTGATCGCGGCCACCCTGTGAGACCGTCCACCAAGGGTCCCCAGGCCGATTCCGACGCTGCAGAGGACGGGAGTAGACAGAGCTCTTCCTCCCCGGCCCGTGGCCACCCAAGCACATCCTTCTCTGCTCCGTCAGTGTTTCCCGGGCCTCAGAAGCTAAACTGACCGCCCTCTCCTCACTTGAAATTGAAAGGAAGCCTCAGTTTACTCTCCCCCTCACGCTGACTTCATCCCATTCTTCTGAAAACCACAGCTTAGGAGATGGCACAGCTTCACGCACACTCTCCTCCCAGGGCCGCTGGTCCACTTCCGCTGGCAGGTTGCTCAGATAGAGGAGAGGACAGGCCAGCGTCCCTGACAAGCCGGCACACTCCTCCAGGCGCAGCTCGCTCCACACTGCATGGCCAGCCTCGGGCGGCCCCCGGGAGAGTGAGCGCCCCCCAGTGCTGACACTCCTCGGTGGCATCCCTCTCCCAAGTATTACCGGTGGATAGTCGACTCCCATGTTTCTTCCTCACTTCATGCACTCACCTCCCATCTGCTCACCTCCCATCTACTCACCTCTCATCTACTCACCTCTCATCTGCTCACCTCTCATCTGCCCACCTTCTACACTCACCTCCCATCTGCTCACCTCCCATTCTCACCTCCTCAGACTTCGGGCCCCTAAGAACAGGGCCCGTGCCTTAGCCCTCTCTCCCTGGACCCTCCCCAGGACTCAACGAGAAACCCAGGCGGGGAGCCACTGCCTGGCGTCTCCGTTCTTTCTCCAGCAGTCTTCACTCACCCTCCTGTCTGCCAGGCACCAGAGGTGGGGAGGGGGGAGCCTGAGCAGCTATCCCCCCACTGAGGACTATGAAAAAGTCCACCGCGCAAAATGTGGGGAAGAGTAAATGGTGGCAGAGCACGGGCTCCCCGCTGTGATTCTGAGAGCGTAATTAATTTGCTGGTGAGTCTCCAAGGGCCCAAGAGGCTCCTGACCCATCTGGAATGTTCCGCGGCTCCTACAGGATTACCGGGCGCTAAAGAGGTGAGGCCGGGAGATGTGTCAGGGGCAGGAGGGCGGGAGGAAGCATTCAGAACATGGCATCAGATATGTAAAGCAGACGCTCTGCAGCGGAGGAAGGTACATAACAAACCATGAGCAGCCTTCCCTAGCATGTACCAACAATGCGAATATTCTTGCAACTGTTATTTCACTTAATTCCTATAACCGGCCCATGCGACAAGAACCAGGGTCCCCTTCGTTTTACAGGTACGGGAACGGTGACAGGGAGGGAGAAGTGCTTTGCTGGAGTTCGCGGGTTCGCCGCTGCTCGCCTGGCATCAGAGCTTGCCATCGTGACAGTATTTTGCTTCACTAACTCGAGATTAAAGCAAATTTTATTTGAGGGTAGAGAAGCTTTTTCTTTGCAATTTTCAAATGGCAAAATTGAGGACAAGTACAAGCTTTTACTTCATTTCTTAGAGTAATTAGGATCCTTTTTTCCTCATAAGCATGTGCATTACTCATTTCATAGCTGGTGACATTCAGGTGTCATTTGGAAGTCTCAAGCAATTAGTGGCATCCAGGTGCAATATGACATGGCAGAAAAAGCCAGCATCGACGTGAAATTCATCTTAATTTGAATCCCAACTCTGACGTTTGTAAGAAGCGTGAATTGGGACAACTGACTTCAACCAACCTCTGTTTTCTCCCCTGTGAAATGGGACTATGTCCACCCCACTTTCAGAGTCATTGTCAGGATTAGAAATAATGCAACTCAACTGCCGCCCAGTGTCTGGCTCCTAGTATAGAGTTTCCATTTGTTTTGTTATTTAATTATAACCAGACCTACCTAGGGATGGAATGAGAATAAAATTAGATTGAGGAAAGGTTTTGTCCACCGTTTTCCACCTGCAGGAGACGCAGGCGGCCTCGTTTGCCGGCGGCCTGAGCAGGATGCAGGAGGTGGGGCCGAGGGCCGGGACTCCCTGTATCCACACAACCCCCACGGGGGGGGCTTTCTCAGAGGCACCGGCGTGGCTTCTCCACGCACCTGATTTCAGAGCCCTGCCCCTGTCTCAGGGTTGTGTCCCGGGACCTCTGAGCAGGAAGCCACGTGGGGAGAGCGGGTGGCCAGCCTGTGTGTCCGCCTGCTGGTGACATCAACTGAATCAGGGCTGGCTCCCTCTTCTAGTACGAAAGCTCGAAGGGAAACCACGAGACATAAAAATGTCACCCTGAGGTCACTGCTTGTGTGGTTGGCACCTGCACCCTCCTAAGGGCGCGTGGCTTCAGGGGTCTGTTCCATTAGTGCCCCTTCCAGGAAGCCCCGCTGGTCTCTGCCTCTCTCTCGTTCCCAGAGCTCAAGTCACACGCACACGCACACACGCACACAAGGTTTCCTGTGAATCCAAGAAATAAGGCAGAAAACAAAAATTTGGCAGATGCTGCTTTTTCCACTTCACTGCACAGACTTTAGAGTATTTCTCTGCATTTCTCTCCCAAGACGCTCACCTGACCTCGCTCGCTCGCCACTGTGGCCGAATGTCACAGGTCACAGGAAGCTGAGCGGCCCCCAGAAACCTGCTGTAACCGAGAGCATCTGCCCCTCGATCTCAACCCTTCTGTCTCCTTGGACAGCAAGTTCTTGTCGGGAAAGGAGAAGGCTCTTCATCGGCCGGGCCCTTCTGATGTCCCCACGAGGTGAGCGGGACACAGCCTCTCCAGGAGGCTACGGGGAGACGGTCATTGTTCGTATTCCCTTCCGGACGCCCCGGGGTCTCCACTAGGAAACTTTAAGAGCTGGAGAAGTGGCGGGGAGGGAATCAGCCCCCTGGGGCTCCCACCAATAGCACAGAGACAAGGCACACGCAGGAGCGATCAGGGCCTTGACGCCCACCTTAGAACTAACTAAAAGCAAGGACAGGTGATGCCATTACGAGAATTTAAACAGCTATTTCAGAACCGTCTTAAAGGCAAGACAGTGCTTCCAGCATCATAAACACACACGGGCTGTGGTTTCACATTCACATCAAAGCCGCCTCTTGTCTTTTTAGAGGTTTTCAGCAGTTTCGGCAAATGCCAACAGAGCTCGGGCATGTCTGCGGCCAGGCACAGCCGCGTTCCGAGCGCAGACATAACCAGGACGGCGCTTTATTCCTGAGACACTCCTCCCAGACATGCAGGTAGGTGCCCCACTTTTACCAGCCTGGAGAGGACCTTGCGCGGCGAGCTGCCAGCCCGAGGGGTCCTCTCTGACGCACAGGGGTCTGGTCAGGGGATGGGTGGGGGGAGGACTGGTAACTGTGGTTTTAATGAAACTCCTGAATTTTCCAGGTTGCTCTACCACCTGTAACATTGCTTATTTTCAGTTTGCTCTTTTAAGTCTGCGCTCAGGGTTTCTAAACAGGAAAACTGCTGTGAGCATGAACGTTTTCCTTCAGAAAGTCTCCTCTTAGCGCCGGGACCAACTGCTGGTTTTAATTGCGTCCCCCCGGGACTGAAGGGCTACGTGGATGACTCCTGAACCGATTACTTAAAAGCTCTCCGTCTCTGCCCCCCTCATTTCAAAGATACCTACAGGACCTTCAGGGCAGAGCAACATCTCGGGGACCCGAGGAGCAGATGGCGTGGGGTGAGGCGGCTCCTCCCGCCACTGGCCTCAGCTGCAGGCTGGCCGTCCCTTGTTATTACTTCTGTCTGTGGGGCATTCTGTTCTCAGGGTCCAGCTCTGCTGAGATGCACCAGATGACACGGTGCACGTGAGGAGCGTGCAGACTGCTGCCCCAGAGCAAGAGAAACATTACAGATGCCTCCGAGGTATCAGGCCTGATAACAGGATAAAGGGTGGTGTCGTTTGCTAAGTGGGGGGAGTGGAAGAGCAGAAATATTTTCATAGGGAGGGAAGCAAAGCTCGAGGTCCCTGTTGGGGACAGGGGGGCTGGCAGGTAACGTGCAAACCTAGCGCTCAGTGCAGGAGCCGGGCTCCGTCCACATGCCCACGGTCCCTGGAACAGGGAGAGCTCACGACCACGGGGCAGATGGGGCGTCTCAGGAAAGAACCAGTGTCTGTTCTTAAAGAATCGGCCTCCTGACCTGTGACCCTGGATAAGTCCCTACTCTGTTTTCCATCTGAAGAGCAGGAGGTTGGCCGTGCACGATGCCAGGGCTCCACTCCAGCTCTAACATTCAAGGCTGTTCTCTAAACTCGTTCCAAGGGCCCGTCCTTCACACGAGGGAACGCGCTGGGCCGTCCGCTGAGCGATGGCTCCTGGCGGGAAGGCGGTCATCTGGTCACCTAGGAAGCCATCATCGCTCCTGACAAAACTCGCCGACAGTTCACCACGGGCAAGAGGAGCAGCCGGTTTTCTTGTAGGAAAGCGACCCTCGTGTCGCGTCCTCGGAGGGGATCGAGCTCTGGTTGGCAGCGGCGGCGAGGGCTGGGCCGGCGGAGGGGAAGTTGACCGAGGCCGGGTCAGAAAGTGCAGCTTCTCCCAGCGCCCCCGTGGCTGAAGCTCTGGCCCAGGCCCGTGTCCCTCGGCAACTTCCCCTCTGTCTCCCACACCCCGCCCTTGGCCAATCTTTCTCAGCTCTCGGGGGACTATTAACAGGGAACCAGTGAGATAAGCGGGGAGCAAGTCAATCTCGGAGTTTATTAAAAAAACAGCTATTGCAGAATATTTCCTAACTCCTCTGGGAACATACTTCCAACAACCAGATAAATCCCCGCGGCCTTTGGCTCTGAGCAAACATACCACGGATTCAAAATGAGCTTGGTTTTAAGCGAGCCAGCTTTCCTGTGTCCAATGCATCGCCATCGTATTGATAAGTGTTCAATCTCCAAAAGGTTCGGAAAAGTGCAAAGATAAAACTGCCCCCAGAATACTCAACTTCGAATTTCACTGTCCTGCTGTTCTCGACAGAGGTGGGTGATCGCCTCGGGAAGGCCCGTCACACACCTTTAAAATGACACCTGGCTTTTTGAAGGATGGTTTCCAAGCAGTCAGATCTCCAGGAAAATCACTGAGCTAAAAAACAGTAATCACTGGAAGATGCCCTCTTATTTTAGCACTAACATTTTACTGTTGCAGTTTAATTAAAATCATGTGCCAGGAGTGCGCCTTAACCTCCTCGCCACTTACCGATCTACATGAGAAAAATTAACCCCACAGTCTTTGTCAGTATCCTGAACAGAGAAAAATCACAACTGACTATGAATGGGGGGGAAAAAAATCAAGCTTAAACAATTCTCTGCTCTCCACCGAGAAAAACTTCTCAGAAATGGAAGATTTTATAGGAGAATTTGGACAGTTTAGAAAGGTTTATTTTTAAAGCATCATAATCATGTATAAAGGCCTTGATTATGTCATCTGGGCACGTCCCAAACATCGAGACTTTAATATTTAATTTTAATATGAAATTAGGCTACATATGCAGATTTTTAGCAACTCCTAAAAGCATTTAATTTAAATGTTTAGATTTAAAATACAGCAACAACTTGTAAGAGATTTATTTCTCACAGGGGCAGAGAAATATATTTATAATAATTATATATATTATATAGTTAATTTTTAGATTAAGTGACAAGACTTCTTTGTTTCCAAATAGAGCAGACTTCAGAGAAGTACATTTTGCCAATACTGCTGGCCTGTAAAACCTCAGACATAATGAAATATAAAAGGACAGATCAAGTGAAAAATCTTTCCCCACATCAAAAACCTAGAATGCTGTTGAAATTCCAGCAGAAAAAAAAGAAAAAAAGGATTTCGATTCATGCACCATGCACGATCTGCCACTCTGAAAGCCATATAAAACCCCAGATAAATTATAACGGGCTGTGGAAGTTGCCTATATTGATTAAAACATCAAGCAGTAACGTACCAACCAATAATGAATTACTTCGTGCTGGAAGATAAAACTTTGTGATATTTAAAATTACAGACTTGAAAGTAAGTGGAATTACCCCTAATTACGCAGAAGGGAGTAACACCTTCGCAGTAAACAAGATAAGCACCTCAAACAGCACTAATAATTTTAATTAACATTTTCTAGTTTCCTTTCACCTCTTTTCAAGGTCACCTCCTCCCGCCTGGAGGAGCAGCTTTCCAGCTGCTGCGGCACCAACTCCCATCGCATTTCTTATCGTTAGAACTAAGCAACAAGCATATTTTATGGGACTGGTTTTTAAAAATAAGTAATCGTGCACCAAAGTAAATATTGAATCCTGGAAGCCCGTTAGCAATGATTTAAAAAAATGAATTGCAAATCCAATTTTCCATCCTTGTAGGATAGCAACTTGTCTTTTACTAAGTCCCTCGATTTGAATTATGAAATATGCCCGAACTGTTGAATATTCAGGTTCTAATCCGAGTCCAGAAGAGTTTAGCCGCCGATGCCGCAAAGAGCCTCATGCATAACACAACCCGGCTACACACTGTTTGTATTCTCCGCTGAAGCCTGATTAATACATTCATTTGTTCAAGGTTTATGATTTTGCTAAACTGTTTTCTCTCTTTTGTAAATTAAGAAACCGGCGGGAAGAGGGCTTTGTTATATCAATGGGTTTGTTCCATGCCACAAATTTAATGTACGGGGTCACCCAGAATATAATGTGGAGTGAAAGAATCTCATTAGGCTAAAATGAATGTAAAATGTGTCAATTTGATCCAAACGAGAACTGTAGTAAAACCATGTTTGATGTTCATGTGCAATAAATCTTTAACATTTGTCTGTAAAGTACGAGCAGACCCGGAGGGAGCTGTGTGTTTGTGAGAGCCGCACTCTGCCCACGGTTTCCCTCTGTTTTCCTTCGTTGGCATTTAGCATAGAGAAGGCAGAAGTGAAAGCCTAACACCGGGGTTATTAACTGTGATTCCAACGTAAATAGAAAATGCACCTCCCGCCCGGGACAGCACTTCAGAAAGACTAGGGATCATTTTTAAAAATAAGGGAAGCGAACCTGGGACGATGCCTTCATTGTCCATTTGGGGAGATGCTGCAAATAGTCCCTCAGCTCCAATCTTGGGGGACAGTGCCCGGTTTCATCTGCATGTGCCCGGATGGAGTGTCTTTTACTTTTAGACCTGATTTCGGTGCGATTTTAATGTTTGCATTTGCGGCGGCATATGGGATCACCATTATCTTTCCAATTCAATTTTTATTTTGATATATCCATAGTGTTAATTACTGTTGTATTTCAATTTTCTCTCTAGTATTTTTGTTCCTTCATAACGGCTTTATGGTTCACTGGACCGAAATGACGAAAATGAAAGATTTCCAAGATTTCTTCTGGGAGTAATTTACAAAAGACCACCATTTTTTAATTGCTCCCGATGTTTAGTTCTGGACGTCTGCTTCGGAAAGAAATCAATCTCTGTCCTTTAGGTGCCATACTGAGCACATCACCACCTTTTTCAGAAACCTTGATAATTAAACCCTTTTTTAATTACTTAAACATGTTCCTTCTCAATCTGATTTCTCTAGCAGTTCAGAGCGCGATAACGCACATACTATTTCTGTTTACATTGATTCATTTCATTCTTTGCAGAAACTTATTTTGCTCTTTAATGTAGTGAGAAATAATAACAATCAGTGTGACGTCAAAAATAATTAGGAGGACTAGCCAGGTTTACCCGATAGGAGAATCCTTTCTGTCGGAAAATGGAATGAAGAATTAATTCCCCAGCGTCACTATAATTAAAATCATCTGCAGAATCCCCGCGTCAAAGAAAAAAGTTGACAACTGATATGCTTTCAATAAGAAACAACTCATTTTTAAAAAAATCGACATGGTAAAGATCTCAGAGCGTTGTTGATAAGCTCGGCAGACGAGTTCTGCCAAGAAGGGATGTCTCGTGCCACGTCCTGCTAGGGATCTCCTCAAAGACCTTCCCTGTTCTCAGGGGTACCCATGTATCTTCCCCAGAAGCAGGGTGATTTTAATGTCAAATTCGCATGTGGATGGACGGGGGCGTCTCCCTCCATTGCCTTAAACTAGATGGCCGTTGCCCACTTGGCACAGAAAATCGTCGCATTGGGCATCCCCTGTAACTATTTTCTGCGTTATGTAGTCACCCAAATGGTAAAGGTTGTGCTTCTTGATGACCAATATTCTTGTTTTTTGTAAAACTCTATTGTTAATGTCCCCCTTACTCAAAATGCCTGTGTTTAGAAAAATATCAAGATTAAACTCAGTATTTTTGTCTGTCTGCACAAAGTATTGAGCCACGTACTGATGTCTGCAAATGTACGAAGTTACCTGGCCCACGTCCAGGGGCAGCTCGTCTCCCAGGGGAGGCTGAGCGGCCTAAACCAGACGACGACTCGGCCTTGGCCAACCTGTTCCGCCCTGTCCCTTGGCATTCAAAGAGGGGCTTGCCTGTGCTTTCTGTTGGAGTTTGGAGTATATTGCCCAGCATTTGTATAGCAGATTTATTTTCCCAGCTATGCGTGGCTGTGATAAATATTAAAATGAGCTGCCAACTCCTGAGTGTGCACTGTGCTGGAAGGAGGCCCAGGAGCACACTCAGAGAGGGAGGGAAGCCAGCCTGATACTGTACTGTGGACGATTCAGATACAGTCAGGAGCAGCCTCTGGTGGATTCCGCTAGGGAACCGTAGTTGCCCG